AAAATATCTAATCCGCTGCAACAGTTTGGGTTCTTAGAGGGAAGACTTGTAGGATTCACCGATGATATTCTTAAGGTTCTTTTTAAATGTTTTGTTTTATTTTACACATCCAAATTCTTATCTCACTTATGGCTGAATATTTCTTTATGAATGTTTTTTAAGTCACCAGTTAAAATCAGAAAATGTGCAGTTTGTAGTTTTCTCAGCCATTCCAGCTTCTTTAAAAGCTCTGATCCAACATATCGTCTTCCACTTATCCTGGTCAGTGTCGGGGAGTAACGGAATACATGTAGACTATCACGTTACATATTTAGAATACTAGTTATGAGTAACTGTATATCGTTAAAATTACAATTTTTGAACATGGTATTTAGAATACAGTTACTTTTGGATTACCTGTGTGTTTTCCACTTTCTACCCGAAAGATGAATAAATAAATTCCGGGCAATGAGTGTCTCTGCGTTGTGTAGAAGATACAGACCGGCCACGGTCTATTGACAGCTCTGTCGTAGAGCGCCATACTCTGTCTACATAAACTTAAGTACCTCTCTCTGCCCTTGATTTAACTCATTCACTGTCATTGACAAAGTCATCATTTGAGATCCAACCTCTCACTGTCATTGACGGCTAAAGTTGTCAATTGCACGTCACGTGATCATGAAGCAGACAATCCATGAATTAGGAGATAGTTTTGGGACAATGCTGCAAAAAAGCTTTGACGACGGATTGTGAAAGAATAGCTGGTATTCTGTAACTAAATACATTTACAAAGTATTCTACCCATCACAGATCCTGGTCAAGGATGATATATTCAGCTGCTCCAGTGGGATCCCAAGGAATTCCCTGAATGGTTTAGGGTCATAATCCCTCTAGCACCCCCCCCCCCCCAACCCCCCCACCCCCCCCACCCCCGATTGACCTATGGGCGTCATCCTTCAAGGGCAAGCAAAAACACCTCAGTGGCATTCAGAGGACACCTGCCCCACTCAACATGGAAATGCTGTGGTGCAGTCTCATCTAATTCTCCAACCTATCACACAATCCCTAAGGGTTGTAACGTTGAACAACTAGTAAATCAAGATTTTCACTGTCTGGTTTAGCTCATTCTTCCTCACAACTGTTTGGCTTAAAGTCCACATGACAAGCAGACAACACCTCAATTCACCAGTCCATCTCCCGCTCAGTCATCCACTCTTCTGCAAACAAGATACTGAAACTCCTGCACTAAGGGGAGGACCTGTACGCTGACCAAGACTAGGCAATCCATCCTTACAATACAAATGTTTGCCAGCAGGATAAAGATTTGTCTAACTTTTAGTTGAACAGTAAAGGTAAATGCTAAATTTCCATTAAAAAAGTCGTTCATTTATTTCTGGTCACTAGATGTTTAGCTGTGCAATCACGAAAAATTATGTTCTGTAAACTAAATAATAAATTTAATACAAAACCATTTTTTTTCTTATTCCAATTACTGATGTAACCTGGTTGTAATCCCACTTTTTCTTTAAAGCATTTTGCTGATCTTTAGAAAAATACAAGTTTAAACTCAATGTACTTTTTATGACAAGCGCCCTCTTGTGGCTACGTGGAAATAATCATTGTCAAAAAGCTGATAATGTTGGCTTCTTCGCAATATTCAGATTCTTCCCCAGGATTTACTATCTAGCTGAAGAAATGAAAAAATAAATAAATGAAATAAAAACAGAACATTTTAGAAAAAGTCTTCAATTATTTGTTTCCATTGATCAGGCTGGCTGTGTGGAAAATGTTAACTAGCAAGTGGTCAGCTGTATAAAACCATAGCAACAGCTCTAGTGTTTCTCAGCGAAATAAAACATGCAATATATCACCATGCCCCTCTTGTTGCAGCAGTTTCCTTTAGCTCCCGGGGCTCGCTGCTTTGTTTCTTTGGTTTGAACATGTTCAACTGCAAGAGCTCAACGTGCACGACACGTAGTTCAGGAAAGTCATTTACTGCTGCGGTCATTTCAACATTTCAGGAGGGAGGGGTGGGGGTTCATGCAAGTGACCCAGAGGTATGTGGTGAGGGAATCTGAAGTGGTATGACGGTTCAGCAGCATGAGTGGGTTGAATATATTACTGAAGACCAGCAATAATGGCTGATAGGAAGGCTGAGTCAGACTTGGGATAGGAACATGTACTCACTGACAAAACTGTCTTCATTTAAAGGCTTTAACCCTCTGGAGGCAGGCGTTGCAGATTTGCAACGTTAAAACCTACCTACCTGGTTACTCCACATACGTATTTCATGAGCATTTTTTTTTACTCAGAAGTTCCCCTGAAGGACTTAGTTGTTCGTCCTTTTATCAAAACTTATTTTGAGCCTGAGGGGGTTAATAGTTTCAAAAGCTGATGCAGACATCCAAGGTCAGTCATTTTTTTCTTCTTATTTCCTGTTAGTTGCTTAAACTTAGTGTGTGTTACAGATATGGCTTTGCATTTAACCACAATTAAACAGTTTAAACAGAATTAATGTAATCAACATTTGTAGTCACTTAGCATTTTGCAAGCATGCTTTTTTCCCTTATACTTTCCAAATAATGTACACTTTTGCCCCATCCGAAGGCAAAACTCACAAAATATTTTGTTTAGAAAAGAAAATCTGTGCCAGTAAAGACTGCAGGTCAAGGGCTAAAAGATAAGGGTCGAAGAACCACCATGCTTTTTCAATTAGTTGTATGGCGAACATTGATGCTTTCAATAAAATAATAATAATAATAATGTTTACAGTCCCTTCCTGCTTGCACATCCAGGTTTCTATAACAGTTTTCCTTTGTGTTTGTTGCAGTGTTATCCTTCTTTACTTTGTTTATGTAGCTGATTTATCATGTGAAAAATTAAGTGTATTTTTTAAATCGGATCGCAGAAATATTTATTTGATGATGTTTCTATTCTAGATTCCCATCATTCCCAATTCTAGTTTAATTCTAGTTTAATTAAAGAAAAGTATTATTGTCACAAAACAGCTCACCTTTGCCATCTGATGCAGAATTGTGTCTGCAGCCTTGTTAAAAGGTGATCTCTAGATAATGTTACCTTGTTAATTCAATTAGTAATTGTGTTTCATAATCATTGTTCTTGTCTAATTATGAGAACAAATTCAGGAACATCAAAACCTGAGCAGGACATTATAGAGCCACATGATGGTCCTGCTGTGGTTTTGAGCCAAAACAGCAGACATACTAATGATCTGTAACAAGCTTTGAGATATTTTTACCATTTTTCTAAGAAATCCAGCTTAGGACTTCAGGAAAGGCACTGCGTTGGCTAATTAATACAGAAAACTGATGGATCATTGAATAAATGGAACATTATTTGCACCTAATTGCCTTGTTGCTGCTGCCGAAGCAGCTCTACCACAGAAGATTAGCATGCTCCATCAGACTGGAGACCACCGAGCTACTCTGCAACTTGTATTATTTATGCTCCTGCTTGTGTGCGGCTGAAAATTTATTTTCTTTGTGTCTGTTGGAATGAATATAAATTCCAGAGCTTAGGATACAAATAGGTGATTCACATTCATCATTGCTGAGCTGCTAGAAATACATGCTTGGCAGCTATTAATTAAAAAGGTATTGTTGCAGGGTTCCCAGGCAGTAGATTTGAAATTAAATCGGTATTTTTCCTAGAACAATATAATTATGATGATAATTTAAAAAGTAATGTTTCAATTTCGCCTATGTTTTCTGTTTCTGTAAGTTACAAAAAATTTGTAAAAACAATAATTTTTAGAGGCATCTATCAGCAGATAAATGGATTTCTGGATGCTAATCTCTGTGGTGAGTTTAAGAAGACAATTATTGTCTCATGTCTAATCTGCATATGTGACAAACAAAAAAACACAAGAGGGTAACGGGACAAGAAATGTCAAAATCCACACAAATGCAGCCATTTATTTGGGGTTATTGTGATGACACAAATAAAACTGTAATACATCTGCTAATTAGCTTCACCAGGCTGCTTATTACTTGGGGAACTGTCACCATTCTGCACAACTGTGTGGGATGCATGAACCTCTACAAGCTGCATCTGCTAGATTTGGGAATAATTGCAAAATGGAGTGAGTCTAACAGAAAACAGCACTTTAAAATCCACTGAAACCGACAAGAAGCATCTCAAAAGTGAGAATTTGCTGCCACTTCTATGGTTTTCTCAGCAGGATGCATATTATTTTAGGCGTTTGCGCTCGTGAGCATCAAGGTACAAATCATCCGCTGAGATTTTTCACAACAAAAGTTGCTTTGAAAAGAAAAGGGATGCGAACTGTGAAGAGACTTGCTGTTTGAGCAGCTCCAGACTCAGCGTCTCACATATTTCCTGAGCAACCTTCAGTTTGATTGTGAACCCAAACCCCCGTCTCCCCAAAAGATAAAAAAAAAACAGATGGAAGAAAATTAAGAAATGATAAGCAGAAGAGTCATTGAGACACTTTCTCAGTGTGTGGGTTTGAGAGGCTGAGCCGTGGATTTAACTCTGGAGCATCCACAGTCAGGAAAATGGAGGAGGTGATGAGCAGTGTGGGATGAGATTGGAGGTGCCCAGAGCTGTCAGGGGAAGGAGGGGGGAGGAAACGGGTGGATGGGGGGAGCCATGGAATCGAGTCAAAACGTGTCAGGGCTCTGGAGGGGAAGACAGGAGGGATATTAGGGGGAGGCCGAATGAAATAAGTCGCATCTCAACATTTTGACCAGGTCACGTTTGGATTGTGGTAATAAACTCGTCACTGCAGCTCCATTATTAAGGACAGATGCTGCTTCAACTCGTTCTGCATCACCAGAAAATGATTTCTTTCTTTACTATTAAGCAAATCAATCAGAGGAGCCCTGCCACACATTCTCTGAGAAAATGTAGAAAAGTGCGTACAAATGCGCTGGAGATGCCAGAGTGCTGCGCATGGATGGATACGCCGCAGATGTTTGAAATGTTCTTCTCCCCATGCAGTTATCTTTAAAAAACGGTCCGGTCCTCATGTGACTTACCCATGTTGGCTCATCGGTCCTGAAACCCAGTTCTCTGCAGCGCAATCCCCGGGACGACTTGCTCCGTGTGTGTCGCCTTTTTCTCTCCAGAATCAGAGGATCCGTGGAGACTTTCGCATGTTTCACGCCGCGGGTGACTCACATGCCTTCATTCTCAAACAACTCTCAAGAATTTGGAGGAAATAAAGAGCTATTAAAGTGTGCGCTCTCGCTCCATGGCGCACTACAACTTTCCAAAACTGGCAAGAAAAACAAAAAATAAAATAAATAAAACAATTTTTTTAAACAAATAAATAAAAACGAGCTCCCAAATTGGGGCTCGATGATGATGAAGGTTCCCTCACCCCCGACTAACAGCCATGATCGTGTCCGAATTAGGCAAGGCGAGGAACAGAGCTGTTTAAGTTCACAGGTGAAGCCGCGGAGATGCGGAGACTGAGCGGTGGAGGCGATATCCTTTGCGCAAACATCCAGCGGAGCGGCAAGGGCGCAAAAAATGAGAAAGGCAGCAGAGTAGAGTGGCTGACTCTCAGCTGAGCGGCGCACCAAAGGAGAGGAGCGGGTTTCCAAAGTGCGCGTGCGCTCGGCTGCACTGTAGCAGAGCTTGTACAAGGCGCGCACGTGCGTGATTTGATCGAAAATGAGAAAGCTTTACCAGCAGCTCCACTCAGGTTTGTCCTGTTTCACCCTTCCTCACCAACAACTTCCATCCAAACTGCCCGCCGCCCTCCCGCTCGTGTCCTTCCCGCGTCGGGCTGTTATGCAGGTGCGGTGGAGGATAAGAAGCTATATGTGGTCATCATTACAGCGTGAGTGGGAAGCCTGTCGGATCATCCCACCTCATGTTGCATAATTATTGCAGATGGGAAGGCGCAGTTCAAGTCTGCTCGTTAGAGCCGAGATGATGGACGCGCGTTCACAGCTGTTTTCAACCCCGTTACTGTCGCGAGGCGATTCTGGTCAAGTTAGAAGGACCAGATCGGTGTTGAACCTCCTTCAGCTTTCTGATTTATCAATTTAAAAGGGATCACAGTTAAATAATGTCCTGTTCCCATTGAACTAAAATGGTAAACTATAAACACCTCTAAATTATTTTGGTCAAATTTTGGACCAAACTGGGTTGGATTAAACTCTGAAAATTCTAGGAAATAACTCCAATGAACAGATGACAAAATAATACACGAAAATCTGTTTCAGAATAAAAGCTCAAACGTTTTTTAGAGCCTGTGAGGTGGGCCACTTGATACAACACATTTTAATTTTCCATTTCTTGAAAGCAAGTCCCTAACTTTAAAAACAACTCCTGAACCAAATAATATAAAAGGAAGATGTTTGAATAAGAAATTAAACTGTAATATGTTTTAATATAAAGTATGTTACTTTATATATATTTATTTACATTTCTTTATAACCGTTACTGGTCAAAACAAATAAAAAAACATAGCATTTCCATTGCTTTTTCTTCATGTAGTGAAAAGAGTTTGAAAGGAGGGTTAAGCTAAATATTTCATGCCTTTTTACCTCAGTTTCTATACAACTGGTGTTAAAGTTTGATTGCAAGAATAGAACCAAAGCAGTGCAGACTGTGCAGCTGCTACCAGACAGCGTGTTTCCAGCTTTATTAATTTTCCTGCTGTGGATCAGACATCTACAGCTTCTGGCCAAATGCAGGAACTCTGGAAATTTTCATCAGGTTTGATGACACATGAATATGTCCTCATGTAGGGGTAGATGCCTAAAGGGTCGATATTGGGTCCAACCTTATTCAAAATCTGTATTACTATATTGTTCATGCTGTTGACAGTTCTCATACCTTTATATGTAGATGGCATCATTTTATATTCATGCAGTTCTTGCTTGAACACAGCTTTGTCCTCCTTGCAACACGACTTTAACTGTCTTCAACATGCCTTCTCCAACCTTCATCTTCATTTAAACACAAGTAAAACAAAGTTCATGATCTTCAACCGTAACTTACCGCAATCAACTTTCCACCCTAGTATTGTTTCCCTGGATGGTACAGAACTTCAACTTCTCAGCTCTTATAAGTGTCTGGGTATCTGGCTTGACAGCACACTTTCATTTGACATTCACGTTAATTCATTACTTTCTAAAGTCAAGTCAAGAATTGGGTTTCCATACCACAACAGGTCATTCTTTACTCGTTCTACAGAGCAAACCTTTGTCAAAATGACAACCCTTCACATCTTACATTACGATGACATCATTTAAAGGACTGCTTTCAAAAAACGTCTTCATAAACTCGATGCCATTTATCACTCAGCAATCCGTTTTGTCACTGGTGACCCTTTCATGACTCATTGTGATCTGTACTCACTCTTTAACTGGCCATCCCTCCGTTCCCGCAGGTTGTTACGTTGGTATCAGTTCATATACAAAGCAATCATCGGTAGAACCCCATCATATCTTCCAACTACCAGCGCAATTTACGTTCCAGTAAATTAATCACTACGGTTATTCCCAAAGCTCGCACCTCCTTTGGCCACTCCTCATTCCAGTTTGCTGCTTCCAACGACTGGAATGATCTGCAAAAATCACTGAAGCTCACTACCTATTCCATTATCTACCTCAATAATTCATTACAATCAATAATTTCTGATGAATGTTCCTGTTTCTGCCTGTTTTGATTGCTTGTACATATTATAAATGAGAACAGTCTGTTGTCTATATCTTATTTTTATCTTGTTTTTTTTATCTCACCTGTTTTTCTTTGATGTAAAGCTAACTATGTGTCTGTTGCTGCTGCCTCTTGGCCAGATTGTTGTTGTAAATGAGAATGAGTTCTCAGTGGACTCATATGGATAAATAAAAGTAAAAAATAAAATTTAAAATAAAGCTGTAGTTCTCTAACTATTTTAAAACAAGTGCCAACTGAGTAAATACTAAACTTTCTACGAACCAATTGTTGAGGCAGACAAAAACTGCCCATAAAAGAGCAAACTGGCTAGCTCCATAACCCTGGCAGGAGCGTGCAAACCTGTGCATTCTTTTCTATACTCTGCAATCATTTCTCTTCTTTTGGCCCAAAGCAATCATTGATTGAGATGACCTTACAGTTTTGCTCTTTTTCTTTGTAGCAGGTTATACCCAGGACCCATCAGACAGTCGTTGAGTCATTGGACAAGATGCTTCACTCTCCTTACCTGCTGGTGGTGATTCGAGAGTCTTACAAAGATGTGCATAAAAATGTTTTGTCCTACAAAAATACAATTAAGTCATGTATAGACCAAAACCACAGTATTAGTTGAAAAGGCATTTTCTGTAATGTTTGTATACTTCAAGCATTAGCTGGTACCACAGGTTGCAGTAGCCTTTTTTGTGGTTCCATCAAAATTTGGAAACGACTAGTTTTCAAAGCATGCAGAGCTGTCAGTTTTCTTTAAACCGAAAATGTTTCGAAGGTCAGTCATGGAGACCCAATAAAATCACAAAATGCACTCAACACATGAGAAGAAGCAACCTGTTTGGAGCCTTCTGTTCCGACAGCCAGGATTTTTTAGTCACCTCTTCTTCTCTTCACCTGGTGACTGTAGCCAGGAGGGGGAGGGATTGATCCAAGACAAAGTGGAGTCTTAGCACAGATGAGGTAACAGAAGACTGTTACCAAACTTATGGGAGGAGAGACAAGCCAGAAAGTGGAAAGCAGTCATAAGTGCTGACTATAAAAAGGTGAAACTGTTTTAAAACAATATTAAATCACAGAAACACACATGTGCACATGAGAGTTAAAATAGCTGTCAGGGTTTTAACTTGTGTAACAAGTGGCTGTGTGTTGACACTATGTCTAATAGACAATAACTGCATCAGTATCCAGCATGAACAAAAATGCACACAAGAGTAGATTTGCAATATTATTTAGAAACACTTGGTTTTTCCCGTCACAAAGAAACACAACAGTCAAATCATCTCTTATTATTAGCGTGGAAGTACATCAAGGCTGAACAGCTGCAGCATCTTTTATAATTGTTCTTAGACCAAAGTGTTCTCTCCGTAGGAGAAAGTCTGGATTTAACCTTGTCCTTTCACCACAAAATAACGTGATTTGTGTTCAAAGATTACAACAAAATCAGTTTGAATCTGGGAAGTGTTTATTCTTTCAGCCGTCTTCGCAGGGCTTAAACCCTGGTTTACACAGAATTAAAATGCCTTCACAAGTGTTTTTAATTGTTTGTTTAGTTTTGTTTCATAGCATAAAAACAATAGGAATCACAAAATCTATACTTTCAAACTAAATATATTTTAGACATTTTTCAAGTCCTAAATGTTCACATTTAAAAAAATAAAACATCCTCATGGGTAAAACAGCAAGTGCAACCCTTTTGTTGGAGCATGTTTAACATGCATGCATGGGCCAGGTGCAGTAGGACCTAGCTGGTGTTGTTATCATCACAGACAGTGGATGCTGGACCTCATCATCATTCATCAGGAGGTAGAGAGAGCCCGCTGTTCTCTGTCCTGGATCTGAAGGTAAGCACATGTTAAAAACCTCCATCATAACTAAACTCTGTCAATTTGTTCCTGCTGACCTCAGATGGGAGAAATAAAGGTAAAAATAAAGTTGGAGATTAAAACAGGTCAAATAATGCTTTTGGGTTTCTCCCTCAAGTGTGTTACATAACATTTTGCACATGTACAAGTCAGTTCAGTTACAAAGCCCAAAAGCCACACTGAAGGGAGTTCTTTTCTCCCAAATAAGATGCTGCTGCTGCTGAACTAACAGGCTTTTAATTCCCCCATTTGTCTACATTGTCATGACCCGGTGACACAATCCTCAGTGTGACAATAACATCTTCTAAAAATATTCATTTGAAACTTATTTAGATAAAAGAGGCTCCTGACAAAGTTGTGTAGACTGAAAACACATGGTTGTGATCCAGGGGCATACACAGGGTCTATTATCATTTTATATTTAGTTTTTATAAGGAAGTGTATTACCATCAGCGAGGGGAAAACAAGTCAGAGATGAGTACCTTGTTATAGCAAGAAACTTTATCATTAAAAGATGATTAAAGTCATCTTTTAATGATAAAGTTTCTCCAAATAACTTGTTTTGTAATTCGTAATTATGAGAAAGCTAAAGGGTGAAACTCAAACATCTCGCGGGACGTTTGAATTGCGTCCAGAAAAAACTAAATGAGAAGATTGAGTCAGCGACAGCTTCTTTATGCCTTTTAACCAGGGCTTAATTTGAGCCGGATCTTGCTGGACCAAGATCCGGAAACTGTCTTATTTTGAAAGGACCGTTCGACTGTCTGCTAGGATTCGGCAACTCACGCGTCCAACTTGTGCTATATGCAGGATTCGAATTATGGGTGAGCTGAAGGGACCCGGCTCACCCCAAAGGATGACAGGCTCACCAGGAAGCACTCAGCTTACACACCTAGCGGGAGCCCGAAATGATCCTGGTTCTACTTATATTACAATATCTATGTGGACTCTCCGGGGATTATTTAGAGCTGAGGCGCAGAGCTCTGATTGTTGACGTGCTCCAGACAGATGCGTCCTGAGCACAGCCACAGTAACATTCTCAAAGTGTCGCCACCTCAAAATCAAATTTAACAGGCGATCGTTCATGTCGGCTCATATCCTTTAAGGATTTCTATCTTTTCTTTGTGCCTGATGCGTTTCGCTGCTGCAGAGCAGCGCGCATCACCTCTTTTGTCCTCCGGTGATTTCACCGCACCAGTGCAGCTGGCTCGCGGCGCTCACTCCGCTATTTTTGCGGTCGGTAGATCTTTTAGAACTGCAGTTCAAAGGTAACTCATAAGGTGAATATATATGAAGCCAGGTAGCAGTTTCTCTTTAGGATTGAGAGGAGATGCAGGAAGGTAATAAACAGACAGGACAGAAAAATAGTCAAATAAAAACAAGTTAGTTTTTGT